GTACCCCATATAGAACGTTGACGAAATGCATTTAAAGCAGTCGCGAAAAAATCGCCTACATCTTGGCTACAAAAAGATGTATTACCCAAATAGAAGAGCTAGAAATCCTTTCATTCTATAATGACCTAATGAAAATATGAGAACACATGTACAAGTACAAAACCGTCTTAGACAATAACTCGGCTGCCTTTTGCAACTGCAAAAAATCAAGCGAAAAACGAACCAAACCGTGTAAGCAGATGAACAGAGTTCAGAATAGAAATAGACTGAACACTAATCAAGTCACCTGACCGTAGTGACTGGTCTCAGTAGATCGATCGCGGACCAACTGAGTCATTTTGGCTGAATTACTGGCTTCCGNTTTGATCATCAGGTCGAGTTTCATGGCTTGTAAGTACCTATTCCTGGCTTTTCGTCGGGCAATCTGACAGTGCCTCGGCTCACTATTTGTACGAGGGTCGAAAGGATGTTACATTGGAAGGGCCTGTCCCGATTTTGGAAGGGGTATGTGTTACTGACTAAAAGTTGTGACAGTTTAATGCCAGGCGGAAATGCCAGAACCGCAGGTCATTCACATCAGTAGTTATTTCCCAGGCAATTCACTTGCGTGCGTGGCGTGGTTGCACTTTTTGAGATCCACCGAAAACGTACCCCATACAGAACGTTGACGAAATGCATTTAAAGCAATCGCGAAAAAATCGCCTACATCTTGGCTACAAAAAGATGTATTACCTAAATAGAAGAGCTAGAAATCCTTTCATTCTATAATGACCTAATGAAAATATGAGAACACATGTACAAGTACAAAACCGTCTTAGACAATAATTCGGCTGCCTTTTGCAACTGCAAAATATCAAGCGAAAAACGAACCAAACCGTGTAAGCAGATGAACAGCGTTCAGAATAGAAATAGACTGAACAGTAATCAAGTCACCTGACCGTAGTGGCTGGTCTCAGTAGGTCGATCGAGGACCAACTGAGTCATTTTGGCTGAATTACTGGCTTCCGGGCCAAAAGTGACAAACTCTCACGCCTGAGCGCGATCGATTCGGCTGTTTGGCAAGTTTCAGTCGTCTGTAAGTACGAAAAACTCTGAATGCGTTTGCCGGATCGACCTGGCGGCTACTTTTCACAAAATGGTTGCGAATTACAGTATCCACTGGCTTTTGAACTCCAGTACATAGATTTTTGGGATAATGCTCTTCAACTTTCCGTCACAGACATAGGGTCGTACGACCGACGTGGTCTCCAGACACTGGCAAGCAAACCAGCACGACACCGGCAATAAAACCTGGACCGACGGCTTATATTCTAGGTTAGTGTTGACCACTGGGACGCCGTAGGATGAACGGTTACTCTTGTTGGGTTTTTACACAGCTGTGCGTCTCGTATTTCGGTCGTGGCTCTTCACCGGAAGCTGCGTACAAAATATCTTGCGGGTGTGGAAACTTATGTAGCCTTTAGAGGTTGTTTTTATGAGAAGCGAAACAGTAAGAACCATGAAAACTAAGTAGAAAAAAAAGCAGCTCCTTGAGAAAGTCCATCAGAAAGAAGAGGCATACTCTACGGAAGCTAACGAAGTCAAGTACATAGTTTGTCGTTCCAAATAGGTAGTATATTCCTAAAAATGCGAATAATATCAAATGCACACAGCGTGGTTGGACAACCGTATACCTTAAATTTTATTGAATAGATTGCGTACGTCTTTCAAACCACATACGTGACTAAATATAGAAGTAGCCCGTTCAACCACTAATGGGAGGACTCTTTATGCATAACAGGGTTTGTGAACTTTCAGAAGCCTGTACAAACAGTTGTACCCACCGGTCTAGTGGATTGAGATGACATGTACAAATGTGTATTTGCAAAAAAGATAAAATTCTTTTCGAGCAGGCACACATAAATATATGGAGGAAATGTGCAAAAACGCTGAGACTGTGTAAGTGTAGCAAACGTTTCAGTTACAAAGTATAAATGCTTCGTGAAACATATTGGATGGCAGCAAACCGACTAAGGACCGAACAAAACAATATAAACGATATCGTAGACTCAGAGGACTGACAACAAAATGGTCATGCTTAAGATCAGCCTGAATTCGAGCTGGTTCATCGCACGCCACTGATCACTTTATCTAGTCGTCTTTTTGTGGTTGGTCAATCTACAATACAATATCTCGTCGAATAATCAATGCTGATCGGGATCGTGTGTCCGATTATCTGGTGAAGGGTAATGTTCTGAATAATCAATGCTGATCGGGATCGTGTGTCTGGTGAAGGGTAATGTTCTATGTGGAATCCCCAAGTCACACAGCCTTCAGAAACAAACCTCGTTGCTTGGCTTGTCCATCCGTCAGAACTTCAAGTCAAGATAGTTAGCCTCAGCTTTCTGAGGTAAAGTATATTTTAGTGTTAGGGTTAGGAGTGACGCTTCTAGACAAGCCCAACCCTGTATAACCAGAACTACGCAGAAAAGCAGAGCAGGTTTATAAGATGTTCCATTCCAACTTCTACATCCGTATTGCGGATAGGTTTTCTGCCTTCCCGTTATTAACATCATAACGTTTATTGCAGTGGTTGTGAATTGTAGTATCTTACCTCAGAATATTTGAGTGGATACAAGTACGTCCCTGCAAACAGAGTTAGCCAAGTCTACCTGAACGCCGAAAGTACACCAGCTTTTGCGCGGACGACTACGGCACTGTTCCTGTCCAGTACAGACGTTTGTGAGGTATGACCTGTCCATGTATAGTCCAGCGCGAGACATTACTCCTACACGGCGATAAGGCACTCTGTTCAAATGGTTTGTACCCTGTCCTTCTCAACAATAGTGAGGTCCTGATGAGCAGTCTGACGACCATACAATAAACTAGCTAAGGTTAAAGCATAAACCCAGCGGAACACTTCTTTAATCGTAATTCCAGTCTTCAAAAAGAGCGAAAAAATCATCCGACAAAAATCACCATGGCATCAGCCTGGTCGACGTAAAATCCAGAGTGCCCTCGGGCTTCATCTTGCACGCGTTGATCGATTTGCAGTATGGATAGATTCGCGAGAATTAAACTGCGTTCCGCGTTGGCCCAGGACGAAGCTACCACCTTTTTACTTTGAGACGGATCCTTGAAAAGGCGTCACTCTCTCAGACGTGCAACGGTAGTCGTTTTTCTAGATCTGGAAGACAATTTCGACACCAGATCATCAGAAACTACGGCGTTGTCTGTTCACTATGAGGGTACGGTATGCAAACTACTGTGGGACGGTACAAATACATGGTAAGCTATCATATAAGTTCAGCATGCAGTGGAAGACGAGGCTGCCCTCTCACGATTCCTCTTCAGTTTTGCAGCCAACGTGCCACTTGGAACTTTTCCGCCTACCTCTGAAACCTTCGGGATCACAATATTCCCGGAGAATTACGTCGCCGACATTGAGTACACAAATGACGTTGCCATTCTTGCGTCAGATTACTTGGAGATGCAAGCCATTTCAGATAGAAAGGCCTGTTTTATCTTTGGATATTCGCTTTATACTTGCAAATTATAAGGGCTGTTACAAGATTGTTTGGAATCAGATCAAGAGCTCATGAATTCATACGAACCAGTCGGGGTGATAGATAGGTTTTGGCGAACTGGCTGCAGATGACATCCCCACCTGGATTGGGAAGATGAGGTAAGCTGCTGTCGACCTTTCATAGCAATGTCACCGGTGTGACATCAGTTCGCCTGTTAAGAGCACAGAACACAGTGCAGTAAACCGATCTATAACGTTTTATGGATCCAAAACGTGGTATCTGAGCGCAGAAGGCATGCGGAAACCCTACATATTTGACTATCGATGTCCCTGTAGCATTTGCCACGTCTGGGGTATACATCGGATTTTCGATGCTTAATCACATGATGCAGTTTTAGGAAAAAGGGACTCTCCTGTAGTAGATGGACTAGTCAAGCCTCACAGGTTATGCTGGTTGAGACATACTACGTATGTTGGAGGAACGTCTACCTCATAGATATTTTTCCCCCGCCCTGTGCTGACCCGAAACGACTGAAAGACGGATAGTCCATTACCCAACAAGGACATGTGAAAGGCCTGCTCAGTAAACTCCGTCGGGTGGATAGCTGTCGTGATGAAGCCCTGATGACACTGATAGAGACGGCTCATTAACGCAACGAGTGACACTAGTGTATCAAAGCTATCGCTTTCCATGCGTAGGTGCACGGTCTCGCGTCCCATGAGATAAATAGAATGATTCCAGTCACCCGACTGAGTAAACCATCATCTTCAGTGCCTGGCCATGTTTTTCCTGGTCTTCCACTTTTCAGCCCTTGGTACATAGCTTATGACTGATAAAATGAACTTGACTGGACTTAATCGCGTCCTAACTCATACATTCTCAGATCGCACACGCTGGAAATTCACATCTGACGGCGCACACCGCTTCACTTTAATAGAGTGCGAGTATCATCCTCATAGAAAATAA